ACAAAGTGATTCATAATAAGAGAGAGCCACAGAAATAAAGACAGTATTGTTTGAAGCGGCAGCCAGAAAAGGCAGGTGGGGGGTGAGGATTTGTCACTTCAAACTTTATTGGGGGAAAAAATCCACAAGTGAGATTTCTTTCAAGAAATGTAAAAATAAACTATATAGCTTGCTCGCAGGGTTAGCGAGTATAACATGTGTATGATATGCTAGCTAAAACGATATATTCTATAGATTATATGTGTGACTATATGTGTTATAGATTAAAACCCTCCTGTAGTTGCCGTTACTTCCACTGGTCCAAACCTCTTTGGCTTAAAGTGCATACTTTGAGTGCTGGTAAATGTTTTTTTGATCTTGTGAATGATGCAGAAATTCAGCTTCCTTTCTAAGCAATATCTGACCTGCCACGTGGAGCTTAAATACAAAATCCCTGGTCACTTCAGTCAAGAAGATTGAGTTAAGAATATTGATGAAAAAGACAGAAACTTGCTTTCCAAAGTCGTAATTTGCTTTTGACATTAGCGTTTCTGTCACATTTGACATTCTTAAGCACTTTACAGGGCTTTGATTAATCAATCTTTAATTTAAACAAATAATCTGGTGTTATCTTGTGACTTGTTCCGATACTGACACTGTGCTGTTGAGCTCTCGGTTTCAAAGCCTGCTGTGAAGCTGAAATGTTTCCCGCACTGTTCACCGTTGACATTTTGTCTGATCTGTTTGCAGTGACTAAGGAAGGGGCTTGGCAAACTGTTCTCAGCATGGAGAAGGAAGACCTCAAGATTGTCAACAAGGGGGAAGAGGAGGAGATGGTATGTGTCTTTTTCCTTTCACATATACGCATCTTGAAAAAACGATTCCTTCCTAACGTGCCATACTGTGCTCCTGTTTTCTCTTTTTTTTTTTTGTTAAGGAGCTGCAGGGCTACCGTCTGTGTCGTTGGCGGCTGGCCCTGGTGGGCCTCGGGGTGCTGTGTACAGGGGGCTTCCTTCTCCTGGTGCTCTACTGGATGCCAGAATGGTGCGTCAAGTCCACCTGCACTCGTACCACAGCCCGTGATGCCGAAGTGGTGTTGCTGCGCTCCACGGTAGGTAGCAAGCAGCAGTGAGTCATTATTATTCAAAAAAGAGAAAAATTATTTACTTAGAAAATAAGTTTTTCTATTTTTTTCTCTCTTTCTTCGTATTAAATAGGTTTTTAATATTTGGTTGGAAAAAATCTAATCAAGAAATTGTGAAAGGAAGTGGTGGATTTTAGAGATTAAACATTTTATCAACAAACTAATCAAAACATATTTAAAAAAATCTTATTTTTTTTATTTATTATTTGGTGTTGCCAATTTATGAAAAAAATGGTAAAGATGTAATTAGAAGTAACTATTTTGAAGACTAGTAAATAATAATAATGATAATAATTAACATTTATTTTTAAAATGTGCAAACACAGTTGTGGGTTTTTTCTTTGTTGTTTTTTTGTGTGTTGATTTCTGTCTGTCTACATTATTATTATTATTATTATTATTATTATTATTATTATTATTATTATTATTTTAATAAAATATTTCACATCTGTATTTTTCCATTATATTAATGGAAATATAGTTATGAGCTCTCACCCCACTTCCCTGTGACTAAAAATGGAGACTGACATATAGAATAATGTTCTTCCTCCTCATAAATATTGCACTTAATATGGGGAAATTTGTTGTTACTTAATGAAGCTTCTCAGAAATTCACTAGATTAACTTTGTTTGGGTGGTTTAGGATGAGTTCCGGCGCTGGTTCCTGGCCAGGGTGCGAGTGATGCTTGCCCCAGGGAGAAACCCCTTCCACAGCCTGGAGACCCAGACCACCTCCCCCTCCTCCCCTTCCTCCCCTTCCTCCCTCTCCTGCCCCTTCTCCTCCTCTGCTTCCCCACCTCAGGCCAACGGACACACCGCTCACCCCTCCGATGGCAGCCCTGCTCAGGAGCTCATCAGGAAATTTGCAGACTACCAGCCCACGCAGGTAGGCACAACACTTGTCTCAACATAAATCTGTAGTATAAACTGGAAGCACAGAAATGAATGTGACCGTCGTTTTTCAAAGTTCATAGAAGGGTTGTTTTATGGACAACAATACAAATACGATTACTTTTGCCAAATAAATCTGTCTCTTATTTTGGTCTCTTTTCTCTTTTTCCCCTCAGATTCGCTACTTTACCTTTCATAGCACAAAGTATTATTGGAGCGACGAGAAGCAGAACTTTGAGGTTTTAAAGTAAGCATTTTTTTATAACTATATAACTTTTTATTTTCACTGCAGAATCCTCTTAAGTAAACTCTTCAAAGGTTGCACACAGCAGTAACGACAACTAAATATATGTCTCTTGCTCTGTATGTTGACTAACAAAAAAAACTCGAGGGGGAGAAGATTTTCATTTTATGGCAACTTGCATACTTGTTTTGCTTTTGCTGTTTCGGTTATGTGGAATTAAAGTATCTCCTCCAATGTTCCTATTACAGTGGCCTGGAGGATCTGCAGGTCAGCTGCTCCACCCTCCACTCGGAGCACAGCACAGGCCTGACTAGGAACCAGCAGGAGTACAGGTAACATTCAATCAAAAGACAAAGTCACTCAAGTTTGTACGGCACTGTAGGTGCAAGGAGTTGTTGTTGTTCAGTTGTTGGAGTTAAATAAAAACGATAAGCCCTGATATTGTAACTGGAGTTACTGAACAGTGGAGGAATATCCACAGGCTTTGGTATTTACACACAAACTAAATACAATTTTTCTTCCTGTCTTTTAGGAGACTGTTCTTCGGAGTGAATGAAATTGCAGTGAAAGTGCCTTCTGTTTTCAAGCTGCTTATCAAAGAGGTAAAGCAAAGTTTGAGTTTCTGCAGCATGAATTTGTGTGAGAGGCGTCTTTTCATCCTGTGGGTTTATTGACACCTTGCACCAAATATTAGTGAATTAGTTTATTGTGTGGCACACGTATGATAATTTGAGAACAGAAATCCTTTTCTTCTGTCAGAACAGAGTCGTGCTTATGTACTGCTGTCTTGCTACTTTTTCATGTTAATGCGATTAGCTGAAGTAGGTTGTTAATCATTTCAGCGTATGATGAATGAAAAGGTGTTTTAAATTTTTATTTTATTTTTTTTATTTAAGGAAATTGTACTGGTTTAACATTTTCAAATATTTCTGTTTTCTTGTGATTTCTGGATCTTTCTCTGGTTTTCTCTCTTTGTTTTGTTTTGTTTTATTTGACCTCTTTGCTTGCCATACCGATTCCTCTCTAAATCCTTCCGCAGGTCCTCAACCCTTTCTACATCTTCCAACTCTTCAGTGTGATCCTGTGGAGTGCCGATGAGTATTACTACTATGCTGCGGCCATTGTTTTAATGTCGGTCATATCCATAGCTACCTCTTTGTACACCATCAAAAAGGTGAGCTCTACAACACCAGGAGATTGAATTGAACTCGTATTTCTGTCAGGAGCAATTTAAAGTCAGTGGATTGAAAATTAGTTCACTTTGTTTTTCTGTAATACTTAAATTTTGTTTAATGAAGCTAAATTTTAGCACAGAGATCTACTTATACAGAATTAATCAGCAAATGTGTGAAAGAAGAAACAGGTTGATTCTTTTTTTCTAATATAAACACTTGTTTTGAAAATCTTCAGCATCCTTGGAATAACTTAAACTATTCAAGTATTTATGTCATATCAGCCACTGATAACGTTTCCTTAGATTTACTTATTGTATCATTATGTCAAAACACAATGATCACGGCTTACTTAGCTTTTGCTTTTTTCCCACCTCAGCCCGGTTTGTCCAACTGTGTTTTTGCCTGATGGCGTTCCCACGATTGTTTTTGTTTTCAGTCTCAGATAAACGTCTTCAAAGGGTGACTCATTTATGGAACATTACATTAAGTACCACAGAATCAGACGACTGCCTGTTGAAGACCTTTTCCCTTCTTATTTCCTTCTACTATTATGATTTATACCAGTGACTAAACTGAGTATCTAATCTAGCGTTTTCAGGCCAACGCATGCACGTGGTTTACTGGCTCATGGTTGACTAACTCAAATGAAAACATCCTTGCAATTCACAGATGTTCATGGGAATTCAAAGGTTTTTTAATCATTGTTATCTTCTCTTTCTCCAGCAATACGTCATGCTTCATGACATGGTGGCAGCTCACAGTATTGTTCGTGTGTCCGTATGCCGAGCCAATAATGGTTTGTAAAACTTTTTCTTTGATTTTGTCTTTTGTTTGAGATTCAAAAATTATTTTCATAGGAAAAATGCAGCAGGCGTTTCTATATTCATCTGACAACAGGGATTTTTCTGCATTTATGCCGAGCCAGCACTGGCTGCCCTCTAAATGTCCTCTGCTGTGAAACACTGCAACGTTAGAGTCTATATGACAATAAGGATGGACAGTTTGGTCTGTTATTCTGCACAAAAGGTTCTGTTTGTGTTTGCAGAAGTGATGACAATACAATCACCTTAGCATCTCAAAATGCAGGTCATTAGTTGTCCAAAGGAGGGCGGTTGAACTTGGGTTTAGAGTTGTCAGACAGCTGTGGGGGCACATAAACTGTAAGGTACTGCTTATGATGCCTCAGCTTTTTCCACTGCTGCGTAGAGAGGCATTATTAATGAGAGAAGTGCTGAACAAGACCATGAGGCTCTTAAACGCAAAATATCTCTGTGGCGGGGCTGCTGCCAGTGCTGCAGGGGAGGCGGACACACCTGCACGGCATCTGCAACTCTGTGCTGACTGACTGTTGTTGTTGTTGTGTGTGTCTGTAAAGGACGACAACAATATGTTGAAAAGAATGAGTGAGTTGTCGGCCTTGTGTTTATTACAATCTCCTCATCCCTGTTGCCTTTCATGTCCACTGTCTACACTTGGAATACATGTCTCACGTCTCCTGTTTTAGGTATGATGTCTGTATCTGATTGCACACATTCGCTCACTTCGTTTCTACCACATATTTCCTGGCAGATATCGAGGAAATTTTATCTACTGATTTGGTGCCCGGTGACGTCATAGTCATCCCCAGCAATGGGACCATCATGCCATGTGACGCCGTGTTGGTCAGCGGCACCTGTATCGTCAATGAAAGCATGCTTACAGGTTGGTAGAGAAGCGTCTGGTTTTCCTCTTATGTATTTCT